GATTATTTATATTTATTACTTTTTAATCTTCAACATTTGAGTTATTTGCTGCTAAAGGATTCAGAAAAAGTTGAGTCGGATAGTTTTTTTGTAAAACATATGGAGGTTGGTGAAGTCGGAAAAAGGTGGAAAAGAAACTGGAATCACTGGTACAGGTTTTTGATCTTTCTGTTGGTTCATCGTTTTTTTATTACAGTTTTGTAAAAACGATTTTTACAATTGGCGATTAGAAGATAGCAACAATAAAAGTATTTGCTCAACCATCAATCGCAATCAATATTTCAATTATTGCAACGCTTGAACGTAAACACCAATCACATTGAGGGCGGTACGTGAGAACACGTCAATTACATCATTATTCGCTCTACTAATTTTTAATGAAGATATAATTCATAACGGTTGAGCACCATTACGATCATTATCTAATTAATTGAGTGTGCTACTTGAGAACACCCTTAATCATTATATCAGCCATCATCCACTCATTTTCTAAATCAGGATAGTCGTTGATAAGACACACGCTTTCCGGTTGCACAGCCCTACCATATTGTAAATAAAAAGCAATAACTCCTTCCAACAAACTATAGCGAGTAATTCTTCACACTCGAAAGTAACGTTGAGGTGTTAGTCCGTAGTTTTTTTTTTTTAAAAAAAAAAATAAAAAATAAATAAATAAAAAAAGCAGGTTAAAAAGTAAAGCTTTTCTGTCTATTGGTCCTAGCTAAGATATCCAAATTGATAATAAAGAATAATATTAGATTTTATAGATCTAAATCATTTGTAAAAAGATTTAAAAGTAGTGTTTTGCATTTAGCTTATTCGTAGTGTTTAATAAAAAGGAGTTGCAGAGTCGTTATTATATAACGTACAGTCTCCAACCTCTTATTTGAAGGTACGTTTCGTTACTGGAGCATTTTTTTTTTCCTTGGTGACCCGCACATTGTTTTTGTGATGTACCATTAATAAATTCTTTAATTTGCAGCAGATTATTAAAGGTAATAGGTTAATTAATGGAAAATAACGATTTAAGTAAATATGTAAATTTGCCTTTCGGTGGAGAAATGGATGACAATGTAGTAATGTCTGAGGAAATGGGAAACGTTTCCATGTCACAATATATAAATGACACCGAAAGACATGATGAACAATCCCTTGGAAATTTAGGTGGTGCCACAATAGAAAACGGAAATGGTTTTACAGTTGAAGATTTGAATTTTATACATTTTGATGACTTTGTTCACTCCTCTGATACTATTGCTGTGACTGACGGTCCACAAATAATATGGAATATCAGTGCAACGCCAGACGGTCAAATATCTTCACAAGACTGGAATACATCTTCTCTCGTACTTCATGATTCTGTACAAACAGTTCAGGATAACAATGCCCAATCGATGTTGATAAATCCTGAAGCAGCAGCTACACAGTTTCTTATCGATCCCACTCTAATGAGGCAGCCTCAACAGCCTATACAAGTTCAACAAGGGCATTCTTACGGAACTCGGTTCGCAAATCAAATGCGTCCTACCCCTGGGATTCAACCTCGGCAAAGAAGGCAAAGACCTAAAAAGGGTCAAGGAGAAACTGATGATGGACCTTACTGTATATGTCGTGGTCCAGCTTCCGGAGTTATGGTTGAATGTGATTCGTGCAATGAGTGGCAAGTTTTAATTTCAATAGTGATTGCAAAAAATAAATTGTTCATAACTTTTATAAATGCCTGGCCCAAGGTTTACAAAAATAGATCCAATAGTTGACGTGCTTATTCTATATAATATACTTGAATTGTGTCATATATAGGTTTCATTGTGATTGTGTGAATATCACGCCGCAACAGGCGCAGGAAGTGGACAAATACCATTGCCCAAAATGTCAAGTAGAAAATCCTTCACTTATTGGTATAATCAAAGGTGTGTTTCGCTTGCATCACGCTTTTTTTTCGCTGTATTTTGCAGATGCCATAACAGAGTTGGTAACACAAGGATACGTCAGATTGATGACATCACGAAGATCATTTAGAATGATATCGTAATTTATGTGTTGTATTAATTATCATAATCATAAAGAAATATGTATACGTAATTTTTAGTCTATAATTCAGCCTTTGCTCTCTTAAATTTGTACTTTTGCATTCGAAAAGTCACTGCTTTTTTGACATGCTGCGGCACCGTGCAACCCAGATACATGTAGGAAAACTTGCTAACTCTGATTATTATGTTTAAATCTTTATAGATGATTGCCCAATGGCAGAGGCTACAGGCATTGATCCAAAGGCGTTGTTAATCGAAGAGCCGACTTCTACCGTAAGTTAAACATTCAATGTGCCTAGATCTATGTCATAATTTTTTCAGATCAAGTTAAGATGAATTCATGAATGTCTATACTTATAATTAATTTTGTTAATATTTAAATTCAGGATCCTCCAAAACCAGCGAAATGTTTGTTTAAAGAGTGTTCAAATCCTGCACGTGAAAATAATCCTTATTGTGGCGAAAGCTGTCTATTACGTGACAAGATTCTAGAGATTAAGATGACAAAGGGACCGGATGTTTCTCAAAAAGCATCTTCACCACCTACTCCAACGGAAACAAAAAAAGGGCATCGTCCTGTACTCCCAAAACCTGCACAACCTGCAGCACTCAACGGGTCTTCACATACAAATAATAAAGCTACTCCTGTTAATCAAAGACCCCCTTCTATGGTTACTAATTCTACACCACTAGGCATCAAACCAGGGTCATCTCAAATTAAAAAGGTGCCTATTCAGCATAAAAAAGTTTCAGGAGGTTCGGGCGATAGTGCTACCAAAGTACGCAATTTATGTTTGGAAAAATTTCAATCTCTTTTCGCTAAAAAATACGATGAATTGAGCCAAAAAGGTGAATTACAAAATACACAAGAAGAGCCGGAACAACTTGCTCAGCGTCTTGCCCGACGTATCGAAGAGTCTATTTACGATAATTTTGCTGCTAAAACTGACAAAGATGGTTTGGGTCAGAATTATAAATCAAAGTTTCGAAATCTTCTTACAAGTCTCGGTCATCCAAAAAATGAAGATTTATTAATGCAAGTCGTCAAAGGTGACATTCCCCCAGTTCGATTAGTAATGATGTCTGCAGAGGATTTGGCAAATCCTGAGCAGAAATCCTTAATGGTCAAAGTACGTAGAGAAAGTATGCAACAATCGGTGTTGAAAGCTGATCACGGACCAAGAATAAAGAAAACTCATAAAGGCGAATTTATAATAATTGAAAGTGGAAATGAATCGCCTAAACGTGATGCACCAGATGTCAATTCTACTGCATCTACTGTAAATGGTACTTTCACCTCACCTACTAGTACAAGACCGAAAATAAATATCGAAGACTTAGTGCCCAAACGACGTGCTAGTACAACAGATAGTAATAATCCGTTATCCGCAAATAGTGATACATCAAAGGATGATTCTTTGTCTCGGAGGACTTCAACGAGTACGGAAGACCTCAGAACTAATTTCTTTAAAACCACGCCACGCGAAGAAAATAATGACAACCAACAACTTGCACGGAATTCATCCGCAAACGATAATAACATGTTTGCTGATACTGACATGACAGGTAGTCCTACAGCAATTTCGGTGAGTTCACCAGTGAATTCACCACATCTTTCCCCTCAAGCCAGAGAATTAATTTCGCCTAAGATGAGTCCTCATACTCCTCCCGGAGTACCTACTAACCTTAATGAGCCTACATTACCATTAACTTATTTATGGTCGGGTAAATTGGTATATGATAGTGTAGCCAGGTTTTCTGGTAAAGCAAGCCTTGTTGCTGCAAAAAAACGGAGTAAAGAAAGATGTTGGGAGGATTTTCTTGCAACGGTTATCAGGGTTAACGGTCATGTGTCACGGGTAGATGAAGCGGAAACATATTTAATTGATAGTTGGTGTTCACCTTCAAAAGATGTTGCTATTATCAAATTTGAACATGTTGATAATATTGATGACAAGCAACAATTTGATATGATATTTAATTACTTGCGCTATTCTCAAAAAGATAGAGTGATGCGTTATGGACGCGTTGCAAATGCGTATAGTAATGTTAGGGAAATGTACATTATTCCTTTAGAACCAGATGATAAAGTACCTGACGTTTTTACCTTTTTAGATCATGATGAGCTACTAATACCAAAAAATAATGAAAAACGTCAATCAAAATTATTATTGGGTGCCATTGTCATTGTTGAAGCTGAATCTGTGAAAACGAAACGTCCACGTGAATTGAATGTGAATAATGCAACACGATCTGTTAAAAAAGAAAAAGTAGAATCTGCGTATAATGGTCAATTGGGTAGTAATGTTCAACCAAATATCGGAGCCAATGTTGTAACTAATAGTCCGGTAGCTCATATTATACCACCACAGACGAATGTGGTGATGGCTCCGGTAAACTCACCGCCAAACCAACAAATTTCTTCAAATGTAACGGCGGTGACGTCAGCACCAAGCGGAATTTTTCCCGGGTTATTACAGTCCTTATTGACTGCTCCCGGTCAAAATACACCAAATCAATTCCAACAACCACAACCTCAATTTAATGGACCTCCCCCTAATGGTCATCCAACTGCCTATGCTATGTCTACGCAGCAACCACCACCACCACCACAGATGCATATGCCTTCTCAGCCGAACCAATACCCTGCACCTTTTCCAGCCGCAGCACCACCCCCGAACGGTCAGTTCATGCCACCACCACATGTCGTACAAGGTCATCCACCAACGCCACAAGGACAAATGCCTCCACCGGGGCCGATGCCACCAGGATTTCCCCTACAATATGAACAATATTATGCACCTCCACCCCCAAATTATCCACCTTCACAACAACCTCCCACAATACAACCACAATATGGTCCACCACCACTTGGTCAGAACGTGCCACCACCGGTTGGTCAGAATATACCACCACCAGTTGGTCAAAATGTTCCACCATATCACTATCCGCCAACACCGACAGATAATAGACGTCCTGGTGAACAACCTCAATGGGTACCTCCACAGGATAATCGCCCATGGGATAAAACTAACAATAGGCCACCTATGTGGGAAAGGAATTCAGATAATAGGCCAATGGATCTTGATAATCGGCCGTCGTGGGATCATGAAGACCGACGATCTTATGATATGAGACCACCAAGAGACCGTAATCATCGACGACCATCACCACCCCATTCAGATTATCGTGATTATCTTGACAGAAGACAACGAGGTCATCATCGTAATCGACAGGATAGTCCAAGAAGTAGAGGATCTAGAAATAGTGGAGGAGGAAAAAGTGATCGTGATTGGAACGAGCAAGACCGTGATTGGGGAGATAAAGACAGAGATGAAAGATTTGATCGCGGAAGAGATCAACATCGTGACGGTGATCGAGGTAATCGTGGTGGAAGAGGAGGAGGGAGGTTTCGTGCAAGAGCTTAATGTAAAACTAGATAAATGCGTAGGATTGTATGTACGGAGCTAAATATTTTAAAAAAAAATTTTGTTTAAATATAATATTTCATTATATATTTAAATAAGCTAATAAAAAGTTTAAATCATCTTTATAATATATAGAATTTAATTGTTTTTTAAAAAGTATAAATTAGTTGTTTTTTTTTATAATCATGTTTGAATACGTATAAAACTTTTCATAATTAAAGTATTTAGCATAACTATTACGACTAAACTATATATATTTTTTAAAAAATTTCAATAATGTATATTCAATGTATCCCTTAAAAATAATATGCGTTGGTAGACCGTGTATACAATATAGAATATAAAACGTATTTAACAGTTTTACTTATAAGTTGGACCTGAAACTTAGCACGCATTACGTAGGAGGAGTATACATTAATTAACATAGTAATAATTTCGATTCCTATTTTTTTCCTATTTTGTACTTTGTGAACGGTAATACAAAATATATTTTTTTAAAATAGTCTATCGCTATATTTTGTTGTCAAGTTTAACTATTTTTTTAACCAATATATATTATTTAATCTAAATTGGTTATAGTTAGTTCTATACCTTTTTAAAACTCTTAGCAAAGTGAATGTGTAACATGGGCTTGGTGCTAAGAAAAAGAACCAATTTAACAAAAAAATTTTTTTATAAAAAAATCAATTATCTCATCAAAATCACATGATTTTGGTGTTGTTAGGTTTCTCTCATCGATACGAATCGAATGATATCAAAATTATTTAATTCTAATCAATAGTAATAGTTGATTTTTTTTTTCTTAGCACCAAACCCACATATTTATTATATACTTACTAATATGGATTTTTTTAAAAATCCAATTAATTTTTTAAAATTATAAAATGAATTTCTACTAAATACTGTATATTAATATGAATTTAACTGCGGTGATCGTCACCGCCCCTAGATATTTTTAGGGTTAGGGTGCGGGTATTAAGAATTATTTTTTTTATATAAAATAATATAGAGCTAATACAAGGTCCTGAATTTAGTTTTCGTAAGGTTTTCAGGGGTCCTGAACATTTTTACTTAGGATACCTGATCAAGTTTACTTAGTACGTTTTTGAGATATAAGCACCCCGGTGATGATCACCGCCGGTTATGGTTAGTAATATTCTATTAATATTCTCTCATATATACAGTATATATATATTTATATATACCTAATTTTAAATTAACTTACTGTAGTACTGTATAATAATATTTCAGTATATAATTTCATACAGTAGATTTTTTTTCTATTAAAAAAATAAATAACTTTATATTTATAATTATTATTATTTTTTTTAATATTCAAAGGTGAGACCTTGCTCTTATCTTTATTAATATTTATAATTATTGCCAAATAAGACTTTATATTATTTTATAATTTACTTTAAAAGTACTGAAAAATAAAAGGCTTTTTATTATTTTTAATATCTTTATAATGTATTGCTAAATGTAAACTTTTTTTCTTATAATAATATAATCATTGTATATTTGAAGTTAATTATACGTAGCAGTTTTAATAAAAAAAGTTTCTTATTTGATTAAGCTATTAATAAAAACTGTTAGACTTCGTCATAATACCCACGTTTACCTTATACTGTATATATATTAGAAATAAGCTGTTAAATATCGTCATCCGAATAAATTAAAAAATGTGCTTAATACCAGGCGAAATTTATTTATTACCACTTAAACAAAAAAAAAAGACAGATATTAATTTAAAGAGCATGATAAGTGGGCTTCGTTAATTATAACTTTACTTGTACAGTACATGTTTATTCATTCAAAAGCTATCAAGTTTAAAATTTTGGTCAACGATTTACTATATATATGGCCTGCGTTACGTTTGTAAATCGTATGATAGTAGACACCCAAGTACGGCATAATATATTTTGATTAGCAAAATAAAATTCTAACGTTGTTACGATATAAAAACACCTTTCATTTAACTATTTTGTTTTTATATATTGAAAATAAATATTACGGGAGGAATTAAATACTATTTTTTTTTATAATTATACGTCGGAGGTTCAAAGAGCGAATGGTGTACAAATTTTCGTTTAAGCTGTATAGATTTAAAATAAAGGCAGATTAGACCCAATTAAGCTGAATACAGGTTCATACGTAACCTTTAGCAAGGCAGTCAACGGCTTTTCTTTATAGGCAATGTTTTCGAACAAGATGGGTGTTGGACGTTTGATGTGAAAGCCTTTTTTGGCTAGTCCCGTCTAAGTTAAAGCTTGTCCAAAAGTTGATCCAATGACAACTATCAGTTGTATGGTTCTTTTAAAAAAATTAGGTATAAAATCCTCACGTGTTAAAGTGTGACAAAAAGCCATCTTTTTTCCTTATCGTTATATAACCCAATCGTTATCTTTATATACGATAATTTTTATTTTACCGTTAATATATTTGTTACGATTATAGAGCTATTGAATCTTTATAGAATCATTCTTTAAAACTTTGCATTATCTTGTTCGATTAAGAGATCAGCGTCTTTGGTGTTTACAGCTTGCTCCGGTCGTCTTTTAAACAAAATCAATTCACAGAATGAGCGGGTTAACCAGTTCACTTAATACTGACCTCTTATCACTCGCCAATGAAACTAAGCGTAGAAACCCGGAAATCAAAGAAGTAAAGAATTTTTTTTCTAGATTTTCCGTATTTTTCAAAGCTAATTAACTCGACTTAATTGCGATTGTAAAGGCTGCAGAAAGATCGGTTAAAATTTTGAAAACACTCAAGCCCGGGGTGGACATATCGCAAGGTAATGTGCATTTACTCGTCCAATTTTTTATAATGTCAAATATATTTTATTTACTAATGTCTTAATTATTGTTTTTTTTATAGAACTATCAAAAAATGCTGATTTTCTGCGTCCATTCCTGCTTGCTTGTGAAACAAAAAATGTTAAATTGATCAAAATATCTATAGGTTGTCTTCAAAAATTAATATCCCATCATGCTGTTCCTGAGGTGAGAGCAGGTTCTATCAGTTTTTAAGTACTTGTATTGTAATCATTATTACCAATAGATCTTCTTTGATTTAGAATGCTGTACTTTTATTAGTCTTCTGTAAAAACAATTCTCAAGACCCTTAATGAAGCTTTATCGCAAAATGTTGAAATTCAACTCAAGATTTTGCAAACCATCCCCCCTTTGCTGAGCAACTATAAAGAGTTGCACGGTGACCTTCTGGCTGAGGTGACTTGTCTTTTATAGAAAATATTATATTAAGTATTGTCATTTTAGTATTTAGTATTTGATGTTTTGTTGATTTTTTTTGTTTTAAATTTGATTTTTGTAGGCTTTACTAATTTGTTTTCGACTCCAAGATTCAAAAGTTTTGTCTGTCCATAACACTGCTGTAGCTACTTTGCGCCAATTGGTTATCAACATTTTCGAAAAAGTTCAAGAGGAGGATGAAATAAACGATAAAAATGGTATTTATTTATGTATTTATTTTAGTTATCAGAATCAAATATCATTATTATTATTGATACCATTGTAATTAACTTGTGTCGGAAGGATCGATACAACCCACATCCACTGTAGTACCTATTAAGGGAAAAGGAAACATTCCACTTCGCCCTTGTGCTAGAGATGCTTATCATCTCTTTCAAGATCTATCTTTATTGACTAATTCTGAGCAACCAATGTTTCTTAGATTAAATAGCTTATCAAGGACATTTGGCTTGGATTTGATAGAGTCAGTATTGACAAATCATTCAAAACTTTTTAAACCGGTAGTTATTAAATTTATATATGCTAATTGCTTTCAAAAAAAAAAAGGAAAAAAAAAAAGCTAACGTATTTTCTTGTTAATAGCATCAAGAATTAACATTTTTGCTTCGGGAGCATGTCTGTCCTTTAATTAATAAAAGTTTTGCTGATAAAAGCGATTTTCCGACTATCATGCGACTAATGCGAATTGTTCGTATATTACTTAAGCAATTCAGTGATATTTTGGTAACCATTTTTGTTTTATATTGCCTGCTTTATTATCCACGCATGAATTCAAAATAATAATATGGCAAACTTTGTTTCTTAATATTGTTTCTATAAAAGGTGACAGAATGTGAAATATTCCTTGCTATGTTTGTTAAGATCATTGAGCCTGACAATATATACTGGCAGCGGGTTATTTCAATGGAAATATTTCGTGGAGTTTGTTCTGATAGTGCACTTTTACGTTCAATTTACCGTTGGTATGATGGACAAGGACAATCTGCTAATGTGTTTAGAGATATGATAAATGCTTTTGGCAAGTTGGCTGCAGAAAAGCCCCAATTAATTGGACATTTACATCAAGGTAGAGAAAGTATGGATATGTCAGGAATGGCTGGTGTGGTAATGGGAGGAGTTGGACAAGTAGACTCTCCTGGACTAAGTATTGCAAACTCAGTCATGAAAATTCAATGGTATGTAAATCTCTTTTTTTTTTTCATTCAAGAAGATAATGACTATGCTTACTTATTATTTTACGTATATTATATCAAGTATTGATCAATTAGATAAAGCTGAACCACCACAAATACCGGAAACGTATCTTTATTATCTCGCTTTTGTATGTCTTAATTCTATTGCTGATGGCCTACACAATTTTGTCTCGTCAATTTTTGCTGGCATTATACAGAAACAACAACACGACGAATCGCAGCAAACTTCCGCAACTCAGCAGCAATCAATATTTGGAAACACCGCATTACGACAACTCGAATCACACTCTGAATATAAAGAAGTTTTACTTGTTGCAGACATGGCAAACACAGCATGGCCTGGATTACTTGCTGCACAATCATTTTTCCTTACAGCTAATCTTGACGAAGAGTTATTTCAGGGTGTTTTACGCGCGTATCAAAATTTCACTATTGTGTGTGGTGTACTTCGGCTTTCTACACCATGCGATGCCTTTTTGACGAGCCTATGTAAAGGAGCAGTTCCTCCTAGTATAATCGCCGCATATGTAGC